AAAAAGTTCATCTTTCTACACTTGATCTTCAAAGGTGACAATGATACTGCTAGTAGAACAACATGCAGACTGAACGCTGGACATGAAAAAAATAGCATATCCAGTTGCATTTTCAACACCAATGTAAAGTCGGTTCTTCTATGCGGGTCAGAAACTTGACCAGCTTGTCAGGAAAAGGATTTCTAACAGGTCACTGCAGACTTTCATCAACAACTGCTTTCGCTGGCTCGATACTGAAAATCAAATGGCTGACGAGAAAGAATTGGTAACAAGAAACTCTGCAGTGGAACAAACCAACCAGTAGCCGGTCACTCAACAAACATGTAGAAGAAAGTGGAGATGGTTCGGGCAGTCGAATGATATCGAGCACACGAATGGATTCCCAATGGGATGCGACGAGTGGGTTGTCACATCGAGAGTGACATGGAGGAGACCATGTGAGGAAGAGATAAGAAAGTTTGGTAAATCATGGACCCAATTGAAGAGGATGGCAGAAAACAGAACAAAGTTGAAATGTGTTGTTGAAGCCCTATGTTCTACACGGAACGCTAGGGAATAGTAATAATAATAACCATGTATGTATGTGTTGTGTTTTACCAAACAACAACCGGTTGTTTAAGTAAGACAGTCAAAAGTGGATAAACTTCTTCCTGCCTCATATTACCTTCATTTGTGTCTGCCACTTTACACATGTACATACATACCAAAGCACATAGAGCGTTTGAAGAAAAGAAACAACAGGGTAGTGTTTGCATTTCTGAATACTTAAACCAAAGAATCTGAGACTATTGGACTGACAGGCATTAAACAGTACGATTGTGCGCCATCTAATAAACACTCGTTATAATATTGTGGACAATCTAAAGGCATTAAGAACGTCACTAGCCAGAGCCTATCCTGCAGCTAAGTTGGTTCCCCTCCATCGAACAACATGCTCTTTGGTGCAGTCAAAAGTCGATAGATACCCTTCTCATGTTAACTCCAGCTGTGTATACAAATTTACGTGTATCTGCGGGAGCAGTTACATTGGGAGAACAGAAAGAAGGGCACACCTCCGATTTTCTGAACATGTGCCAAAAAGCCTACGTCTCAAGGGAACAAACTCTTATAGCAGCGCTATTACTAGACATCTTCTCGACAAGGGTCATGAGGTAGAAATCGAGAAATCCTTTAAAATTATCAATAGACAAAGGAGTTCCATTCTCCTCAAATTTGCCGAAGCAATTTCTACCAAACGTGTGAAACCAGATTTATGTGTTCAGAAAGAAGCAGTTATTAATCTTTCCTTGCCCTGGTAACTGAATGTCTTTATTCTCTCATCTGATTACGTAATCTTTGTCTTTAACCTCACCCCCTTTTATAATCTGTAATTTTGCTTGTCTCTTGTTTCTATAATTTGAGTTGAACTCAGTACATTGTTACCTAATTTATTGGTCACTCTGTATCTAACGCATATTTTGTCTTTATTACGTAACTCTTTTACCATTGTATGCATATATCTATTTTATTTAAACTTGAACTGCCTGTGTAAAAACTATATAAGCGCAGTTTGTGGAACATTTTGTCAACTGACAACAAGTAAAATTTGCAAGTATGTTAAAACTTTTCTGTACGTAAACCTCACAATTTATTTAGGCTGTAAGCAGCTGATGAGAGGCCTAAGAAATAAATGATGGTACCATATTATTCTGCACAAGCCACTGTTATTCTTGCTTTATTCAAAAACCATATCATCAATTGTCTCTAGACAATGCTTCTTAGCACGTCGAGGACCCCAACGACGAAGTCTACACCTCCCTATGCGGCAGCTGGTCTAAACTAACTGTTATGGATTTCGTTGACTGATGAAGCTATGTTTTAGCTCTTTTCCAACCTCACCGACTATCCTATGTTAGGTAACATTACCCGTCAGTCGAGGAAGGCGATCGATGGCTAGGAATCCGTAACACATGTCCTAACTGTCTCTATCGAGGTAACTTGATAACCTCATCGATTGATTTTCCCTCCTCCTTACGCAGCACCCGATCGATGCCTCACCAACAACTCAATATTAATCACCCTATCGTACAATCTGACATGAAATGTAGATACAACGCAGGCACCTTTGATGAAAGACAGCTAGCTAACCTTTTCATGTCTCCCACCCTCAATGGCCATATCTCATAGTCATAAAGGAGGACACAGAGAACCGCTGAGCAATATGCACGTGCTTTGGTCGACAGCCAGTTGGATATCGCGTCTACTACGCCACAGACGGAGTAAGTTGACAAATCCCACAGGAATCTTCTCTATCCCTGCTGAAATTTCGTCAGGGATAAACCCATTGGGACCGACGCAACTTCCCAAATAAGTGAAGTGAGCAACACGCTCTACCGCTTCACTCCCCTTTGTCATTAAGCTAGGAGTCAATTGTGTTAGGCGGTATAACATATCGAGTAATACTGATGTTAGCAGCAGAGAGAGCGAATCATTCGATAAAGCTGTGAAGGTGAATTAATTGTGAGAGAAAGTTATACATTTACTATATACATACTCAAGTTAGCTGAAATTGATTATTAAGTTTAGAAATACTTATCATACCTGAACAGACCAAATTACATTCCCCCGATGGTTGATTAGGAGAAACATGTGATAAAATTTCGATTTGATAGTCACGATTGATGATGCACAAACAAAACAAAAAACTCTGAAGTTGTGAAGACTTTTATTGGCGGCAATATAACGATAGATTGATTGTCCTTAGTGTCAACATAAGTGAATATTTTCATACTATCATCTAAGTCGTACTTGTCAACTTTATCCGTCACTTTGGTGTTAAACATTCATTTATACAATTTCTCATAATATCTTTCCTTCGCTTGTGTATGTGTCCTGCATGGCTGTGAGACATGATCGTTGAAAGTGGAAGGCTTCAAAAGGCTAGTTGTTTCTATCCGCAGGGATGTTTGGGTACTACCTCTCATATTAAGTGGTATAATATGGTGAGTAATATTCAGATTAGGCATAGATTACTAGGTAAAGTAGGCTGTGAAGGTATATATCGATTGAGATGGTTAGGATGAGTGTTATGCATGAGCAGCCACCGCCAACATCAACAAACTGAACTTAACGAATAGTCTTATGGACTTAGAATATGCAGACGACATAGTCCTGTTAGGGGAGGATGATGACAAAATGCAGAGTCTTCTGAACACCTTGAGTAGCAATCTTCGTATGTTTGGTATGCGATTCGCCCCTGTAAAATGTAAGATGCTGCTACAGGACTGGACTACGTCAACTCCTAGCTTCGTGATAGAGCGTGAAGTGATAGATCATGTTGACCACTTCACCTATTTGGGAAGTTGTATCAGCACCAACGGATTGATTGGTGACGAAATCTCAGCACACCATCTCTGGCGTAGGCGTGACATCCGGCTATCAACCAAGGGACGTGTGTACTGCTAACCAGTTCGCTCCGTCCTTCTCTATGGCTCTGAAACATGGCCAATACGAGTTGAAGACATGAAAAGGTTGACTGTTTTTGATCATAGATGTCTACGATCTCTTTCTCACGTTAGGAGGTGGCATAATAAGGTAAGTAATGTTGATGTTAGGCGTAGAGTGTTGGCCAAAGAGGGAAAATAAAATCGAAGAGGCTATAAAGTCACATAGATTGAGATGGCTAGGTCACGTGCTGCGCATGCCTAACCATCGCCTCCCCCGACGGACGCGCATTACTAGCTGATATAGGTGCAGGTTGGAAGTAAGAAAGAGTAAGTGGTGGCCAAACAAAAACATGGCCTCATCAATCCATGAAATCCCTGACAGTTAAACTGAGTCAGGTAGGGAGGGAGATGCAGACTTCCGGGTTGGGCCCGGCCCGCCCTCGGGACTCTAAGAATCAATGAAGGCTGGAGACAATAGGCGACATGGCTCAAAATCATTCGTTGTCAATGGCTTACTCAGATGTATTCAGTCTCTGTAATCTTTCATATTCCTTTCTATCATTACTCATTCATTCTTTTTCACTCTTATACTTGTCAAAACTCGATTGATTCTCTTGACTCATCTTCTTGTCTACCTTTGTGTGCTCTTTGGAACGTGGCAACTCGAATTGCTGCACTTCGGTGGCAAGTTCTATGTTGAATCCAGACAGACAGAGACAACATCGACGGTAAATGTTAGCTGACATAGGATTAGGTTAGAAAAGAATTAGTGCTGGTCAAACCAAAACTTGGAGGTCAGTCAGTCAGTCAATCAATCAGTCCATGAAATCTTTGATAGTTAAGTTGAGTCAACTACGTAGGAAAGTGTAGGCTATTCGGTCGGGGTCCTAGGGATGCTAAGATTCAATGAGTGGAGACTACTGTGACAACTTGAAGAACTACTGAACTAAAGTGTAAAGTTTTATATTGTAACTCAGTCAGTCAATCTATATCGCCTCACTCACAACATAGCTTGATTTCATGCTAAATATCAAAAGACTCAAGGTAGTCGTCAGAACTTCGTTGTATCTGTAACAGATTTCCTATGCACCAGGGATTGTCAAGCATATTTATTATGTGAGGCCTGTGGATGAATACTATCCACTTGCACTCAAGATGAAAGAGAATGAGGGTACCTACTCCCTCTGACACATACAAATAGAAGAATCTCAGGAGATACAAAAGGCATCTAGTACTAGTTGCTCTGTACATCGGTGGCACAGCAGTTAGAATGCTCGCCAACCACGCCTTATGAGGTTTGGGGTTCGATCCCCGGTCGACGAGGTAATCCTTTACCTTGCTAAGTCAGTATTAATAAGAGTGTCAAAGAGAGAAGGTTGGGCATGAAGCTAGCAACTCTATTCCGTAAAAATAAGAAAACGACTGCTACCGAAACTTCAAGCCTCTAGCCTGAAGCCCCCCTATTTTCCACTGGGGGGAGCGTAAAGCAATAAAAATACTAGTTGCTCTAGCAATAAATAAACAATAAATAGTCAATATTGCACAGAAAACAGCTTCAACAACAGCAGAACTTACCCACTCCAAATAACAAAATCAGGTGCTTTAGGGAATAGATGTCTTGTAGCATTGATTGCAGATAAAGCAAGATTGGGTGAGGAATCACAGGAATAATTACCCAATGGTAGATTACATGATTTATTTACATATTGAAGATCACAGTGAATATCACTTAAATGCCAAAAATAACCTAAAATAAAAGAGAAAAAGAGGATATTAGATAGAGAGATTAGTTAATTAATTCAATTTGGACATTCCCGTTGACTAACTCGACCGAAGTGCTCGGCCTCACGTTGACATGTTGGCAGCTCCTTGGGCAGATGCTTCGACAATGTCTGATTATTTAACATGAAGTAGTAGATGGTGACTATGGATAATGAGGCTTGAGGCCCAGCGGGGACACCACTATCACTTACTGGAGAATGTAAGTACATCCGGCTGACGGGGTCCAAATAAGACGAAACGCGCACCCTGAATTCCACTGCTAGCCACCATTCACCAATTTACTTCAAGAGTAGCTATTTAATGGCAAAATGCATATATATCCCAGACAGATGTTGTCAACAGAAAACGCAGCAGGTGGTCTAAACTAACTATTATGGATTTCATTAGCTGATGATGCCGTGTTTTCATCTGACCGCCACCACTAGCTCTTTTCCAACCTGATGCAATCTTATGTCAGCTAACATTGCTCGTCGGTCGAGGAAGGCGATCAACGGTTAGGCATACGCAACACTCGTCCTAACCATCTCAGTCAATGTGACCTCACAGCCTTGTCTGTTGATTTCCCTCCTCCTTACCTAGCACTAGACCGTTGCCCAACCTCAATATTGCTAACTCTATTATGCCACTTCACACGGGAAATAGAACGCAGACACCTATGATCAAAGATAGCTAGTCTTCTCATGTCTTCCACTTTCAATAGCCATATCTCACCCACAGTGATAAAGGAGGACGGAGTGAACTGCTGAGCGGTATACACGCCCTTTGGTGGATAGCCGGATATCACGTCTATGCCAGAGACGGCGTAAACTGATCTATCCCCCACAAGTCTTCTGTATCCGTGCTGAGATTTCGTCAGCGATCAACCCGCTGGTGTTGGCTGATGCAAATTCGTAAATAAGTGAAGTAGTCAACACGCTCAGCACCCATTTCATTCCCTATCTCTAAGGATGAAAGGTAGATGTTCTGCTGAAGCCCATTCGGAAGCCAAGGGAATAATAATACAACAGTTGTTTGCATCTCAGTTCGTCAAGATGTCACAGTTTGAAAGACTCCAAATAAACTTTTATAAAATGTGATTAGGAGGTACACTAATATATATATATATATATATATATATATATATATATAGAGAGAGAGAGAGAGAGAGAGAGAGAGAAACTTTAGCTAATTCAAAATGTCCCGACACTTAAAAAAAGGGTTAAGTAAAGAAAGATAAATGATAGGTATTTGTAATGAGTGACATTTATTTAATAAAAATTGCAACAACAGACAAATGAAAGAGGCTTATGTGAATAATGATGTAATCAAGTGAAAGGGGAGTTATATGATCCCATCAATAGGGTATAAAAATCCAGTTTCTAACGCTTGATAACTATAGCTTCAGCATATTTAAGAATAATTGAAGTGTATTATGTACTGATCATCTCAAAAGACTTCAAAATACCTACTTCATGACTCGCATAAAAGAGATGAGTATATTGACCAATTCACTTATTTGAGAAGTTACATATGTCCAAATGCGTCGGTGGTTCAGCGGTAGAATGCTCGCCAGCTACGCCACATGTGATCTGGGGTTCGATTCCCGACCAATGACGCACTCCTTTACTTCGCTAAGCCAGTAATGAGACTGGTAAAGAGGGAAGGTTGGGCATGAGGTTAGCGACCCCATCCTGTAAAAATAAACACTACTGCTACCGAAACTTCAAGCCTCTAGCTTGAAGTCCTATGTTCCACTGGGGAGAACGTAGATGGAATTAAAAAAGTAAAAAATAAGCCCAAATGAACTGATTAGTGATTATGAAACCTCAGCATGAATATAAAAACCTCATGGTCATTATTATTGAGGTTAGACGTAGTAATAGGTAAGGATAATAAACCAATCGATGGGGTTGTGAAGCTACACCGATTACAGTATTTACAACACGTATTACGTATGCCCAATCATTGATATGACAACGTTAGTTGACATCAGGAAAGAGTTTGAAAAGAGTTAGGCATGATCAAATGGATAGAGACTTTTGGTGATATGGCTCAAAATTGTTGTCAATAAGGCAGATACATTCAATTTTCGTGACGTCACAGATTCATCAACTTCTTTATTGGTTATTCTTTCTGTTCAGCGTACAGTACCTTCTCAATTTTTTTCTCTACCTTACTGTGATATATGGAACATGGCAACTTGAAGTGGTGCATCTCTGTGTACAGTTCTATACTGAAATTCAATCAGCCAGTCAGTCATCAGCACTCAGCATAAAGAAGAAACTCCAGATGTTCAACATCAATGTCAAGTCAGTCAGTTCTTCTGTATGGGTTAGAGATTTGGTGAGTCATAAGAATTATTTCCATTAGGCTGCAAACTTTTAACAACTGCTCCTTTTCCTCCATATTGAAGATAAGATGGAAGGATTAGCAATAAGGAATCCTGAGAGCCAACCAAGAACCTATCGCCCAAAAAATGTGATAAAAGAAAATGGAGATGGATAGGACCCATTCTGAGGACTGACTGACTGATTTCAATGTAGAACTGCCTTGCACAGATGTGCAGTAGTTCGAGTTGCCACACTCTCTCCTTGTAGCACACAAAGCAAGAGAAGAGAGTGAAAACAGATTCAAAACAGAGATAATAAAAAGAGATATGAGGCCACAAGAATATTAATATGGAAGAACAATAGAATTTTATTGCATATTGTAAGTCACAAAGAGTGAATACATCCTCGCCAGACATTGAGAGCGTCCCGACGACCACAACCAGTCAAGAAGTTTACACCTCCCTACGTGGGTAGCGCTAACTAACTGCTATGGATTTCATTGACTGATGAAGCCATACTTTCCGTTTGACCACCACTGGCTCTTTCCCAACCTCACCAATTCTATGTTAGCTAACATTGCCCCTCGAGGAAGGTAATGCCTACGCACACGCAACACATGTCCTAACCAACTCAGTCGGTGTAACTTCACAACCTTGTCGATTGATTTCTCCACACACACACACACTGAAGTGACCTCTGAATGACATCACACACCAGTAAGGCCATGGCTCGAGTAGAACCCGAATGTGAAAAGGCGAGTTGGATGCTGAACAGACGGCAACATGTAGAAGATCGTGTGAAGAGGAGAAGAAAGCTCATGGGAAATCATAGAGCCAAACAAAGAGAACTTCAAAGAACATAGAGAAATGGAGATCGGCTATCGAGGCTGTATGCCCCACTCTGAACCCAATGGGATGACAATAAAAAATAATCCTTAATCTAATTTATTTTTCCCATTCATTTTAGGTATTGTGAATAAGAAACTGATAACAATGGAATTTAATTATGTGATGCATGTTTACTCTAAAATATTTACGAGACTACAAACTATCCTCACTTACTGAAAAAATTTACAAAATTTATTGATCAGTCTAAAACAGGTTGATAGAGATTTGAACTCTTAACTGACAAGGTTGAAAGTTAAGTGTCCGGAAAAATGGATCACACTTTTAACGTTGAATTTAAAAAGAAAAAAGGAACCTTGAGAACAACCTGACAACAATTTAAGATAATTTTATATAGAAACTTAGTTAACATTGGGTGTAGAGTATTTTTCGACGAAACTACCACTGTTCAGTCCTCCCTGTTGGTTTTCAACGGTTCTCTGACTAACTGACTTCTCATGAAAAGTTGTAACTAGTGCGTGTGTACTGCTCAGCAGTTCGCTCTGTCCACCTTAATCAGTGTGACTGACATGAGGCCATTGAAAGTGGAAGACATGAAAATGATGGCTAGCTGCCTTTCATCACAGCTGTCTGAGTTCTATCTCCCGTGTTAAGAGTCGGTAGATTGCTATGTAAGGAGGGAGAATCAATCGACGAGGTTGTGAAGTTACATCGATTGAGATGGTTAGGACATGTGTCGTGCATGCCCCCTAGCCATCGATCGCCTTCCTCAACCGACAGGCAATGCTATCTACTGACATAGGATGGGTCAGGTTAATGATGAAGCAGTAGTGGTCAAACCAAAACATGAAATCAGTCAATGAAATCCACAACAGTTAGTTTAAGCCAGTCAGCCAGCTACATAGGGAGGTGTAGACATCCTGACTGGTTGGAGTCCTCAGGATGGTAGAAACCAATCAATGCTGGAGACAATTGGTGATATGGCTGGCTGAAAAACACCGTTCTCAACGGCTGGCGAAGATGCATTCACTCTTTGTGACTTACAATATCCAATAAGATTCCATTGTTCTTCCATATTAATATTCTCGTAGCCTCATATCTCTGTTTATTATCTCTGTTTTGAATCTGTTTTTACTCTCTTCTCTTGCTTTGTGTGATACAAGGAGTGTTGCAACTAGAAATGTTGCCCATCTGTGCTAAATTCTACGTTGAAACCAGTCAGTCAGTCTTAACTACTAGGGTCTAGCGTGTTGGGTGTGCGAACAAGTACTCACCGACGACATTGGTTGATGGTCACGATAAATTCACGTATTGGTAGAATGGCTTGAATTGATGGACCAATGGATAGCGTCGCAGTGGTTAAATGTTCTACAAGCTTGACTTCACACCGGAACATCGTAGGAGTTTAACCCTGGTGGGTGCGCGATGCAGAAGAGTCCCAAAACAGGACGAAACAGTTTTCCAGTACTCCAGTGTTGGTTTTCAATGGTTTTCTCTCTAACTGATATCAATCGCAGTGATCAAAATTTGTAAACAAATAAAATCCCCATGACAAACTAACTCTTGAGAAGAAATTTTGTAATTTCTAGGGTAACTTTTAACCCTCTTGGTCTTGTTACAGACAAATAGGTTGTACAAAATAATTCTTGACTTATCTCAAATGTTTTTAAGGCATCAATCACACACTATTTGTAAGCATAAACAGTATTTACAAACAAAATATACGTAGAATTTTACTCATGATTAAACTATCTGATTTCCATGCAGCTAGAAATGAGTCACATCTACTGTGTGTTAGGACTAAAATGAAA